ATTTTTGTGTGTGTGATATTATTTACTACTGTTAATAAACCTACTCCTGTGCCCTGTCCCCCCCCCCACTTTTCAGAGACTCAGAAATTCATTTAACTAGATGCTGTATCTTGCTGAAACCTACTTGCTGAATAACATAGACCCACGTTTCAGGGAGACAGCTCCTGACAACTACTAGATTTTATAGTCAGCCCTACATATCTGTGGGTTCCGCATTCACAGATTCAACCAACTGCAGATCAGAAATATTCAGGGAAAAAAATTCTGGAAAGTTCATAAAAGTAAAACTTGAGTTATTTGCCGGCAACTGTATTTACATAGTGTTTACATTGTATTAGGTATTATAAGTAATCTAGAGATGATTTAAAGTATACAGGAGAATATATGTAGGTTATATGCAAATACCATGCCATTTAATATAAGGGACTTGAGTATCCACGGATTTTGGTATCCAAGGGGGTCCTGGAACCAATCCCCCACAGATACCAAGGGATGACTGTTAATTGTTGCCAATAATGCTCAATTACTAAGCCCTGCAATGTGGGTAAATGGACCCCTTTTGCTATACCCCTGCTTTATTTGCTCTTGAGAGATTAAAATGAAAACTTAAATTAGCAGTCTGTCTCTTCAGTTCACATATTTTATAGGTCAGAAAGTACATTCTTTCTAAAAGATTCCCATGGAGACCAAAAATTGATCTCATTCTGCAATTTATTGTTAGAGCATTTGAGCTTAAGTATCTTTAAACAGTATTCTGTTTAAAACTCTTTTAAGGCCTTGGATAGTACTGAAACTTTGACATACTAGTAGGGAAATGCTGCAGAATAGGTATAGCAGTAATAGCAGAATTAACTTCTCACATTGCCCTCCATTATCCTCTTCCAAAACAATATAAAACAACCCTTAAAAATCTTTTTCTGCATTTATGATTTGACTAATGAGAAGAATAGGATGTCTTTTAAAATTTTCTCTTCTGATCCTTTTATTTTATAAACTATGGAATTTAGCATGGATGTTCATATTCAAAACAACTTTTGTGATAGGCACTATAAAAATTCAGAACTGGGCTGAGGCTTTCTACTTTATTCACATATTTTTGTTATAATCAGTTCAGAATCCTGCCCCCCTATTTTTATGAGCTATATTCCAACAAGTAATCTGATTGTTGACACCTGGCCCTTTTACTATTTCCCTGTTTTATTTATTCTTGAGAGGTCCTTATACAAGTATTGAAAGCTTGGAAGAAACAAAACTATGTACCAGCAATGTTGGCTTTATCTGAACTGAAGTCTTGTACTTCACTTGCACATTTAATATGTGTAATGGTTTTTTAAATGAAATCATTCTAGGTACAGTGATTGTACAGCCAGAGCCAGTGCTGAATGAAGACAAAGATGATTTTAAAGGGCCTGAATTTAGAAGCAGAAGTAAAATGAAAACTGAAAATCTCAAAAAACGCGGAGGTAAATACAAGTGAAAATGAAAACATGAGTTTAAATTGCTGTTTATGACCATATTGGAAAATCTGATGTGCTTACTAAAAATACCTCCACTTTTCTGCCCATTGTTTATTAAAAGCACTACTTAAAAATAACTTCTGTTTCTCTCTGAGCTCTGAAGCAGAAAAGGTTAAACACCATTTATCGAAACACCTTTGCCTTCAGTGGCTATTAAGTTATCTCAAGAAGCTTAGTAGTTCCTTCTTGCACACGTTAGTTCTGTAATGCTTATATGCCAGAATACCATGTGTTCCTACTCACCCCGAAAGAATTTTAGATTTGGACAAAATCTTGCCTGTGGCCTTCACGATCTCTTGACTCCACTCACAACAATTTAGAATTTCTGGGGATGATGTCACAACTGTGCCCCAGTTTGTTCTTATGTGTGTTAAAGTCAGAGATCTATTGATCTAAGGATAGCAAAGTAGAGATGGGTATAAAGAAGGGAACTAGAGCTGGTAACCTTCCCTCCATCGTCTGGGCTGCCTCTCCTTTTGTCTGTCTACCCTCACTTATACACACCATACTGGCTAATCATCTGTAGAAAGTTAGCATGAGGAGGATTCATTTAGAAATTTATGCCAATGAAGTATGTGTCCCACTTACTTGTGTGTGATTTTAAAATAGTGCCTATATGTATTTTTGGGGCAGATTAACAGAGCCAGAATCCATGACTATAAAAGGAATGAATCTCTAAAAGATAGACTGTGACTCTGAATTTCTAAATAGAAGTATAATGGAAGCGTATCTGTTTAATATTTATCATGTTAATTTTGAAATTATAGCATAGTTCTATCAGTGAAATTTTGTGTAGATTTTAATTTCAGTGCTATATGATATCTTGATGCTACTAGTAAAATATATGTGTATTCATTATATAGATACACTCACATATATGAATATATATATATCAGTTTTCAGATTCAATAATTCATTAGGTTGTTGGAGAAAAATCAAGGAACTATTGTTTAGCCTTTTGTCCACAAGGGGGCGTTCTACCCTTTTCAAGCAATAGGAAGATTTATTGAGAATCAAATTTATAATAGGGAGACTGCCATTGCATCAACAGAGCTCACCAAAGCGAAGTGGTATTCTTAAAATAAGAGAATAAGTAAGTAGAAGATGATGATAAGGACCAGTAGTAAGATCTTCTGATTATACGTTCTCTAGAGAAGACAGATAACTAAATGTACTGCATTGTGTCAAAATTAATATCTAATTGGTGTCTTTTGGGGAAGGGACTCTGGAGCAGTCAGTGTCTGAAATGTGGATAAGGGCTAAAAGGGAGAATAAAAAAGGACTACAGTTATTGGGGAGGGTATTTCCAGTGCCATTTTGCTCTGCTGCTGGTATTTGGTCTGAGCTGATAATGTTTCTGGAACATTTTATTGAGTGTTCTGTGTAATGTTTATATCGTGCTTAAGGGAATATGTATGCTTATAGCCATATAATAGCACTTAGTCTTTCATGTTAATTTCTGTCTTAATGATTTGCTACATCTTTTAAGTTGTCAGAAATCACACAGGAAATTTAATCATGTTTACCTATATACAATGTATGAATAAACTAGTGGTCTGAGGTACTGAATTGCTAGTTAATATTAAAACTTCCTAGGAAAGTTAGTTCTAAAATTGAAGTCTAATTTAGGAAACTGTCAAGAAGGTAAACTTTATGCATAAAATAATCTTACATTGATTTGAAATAAAGTAAAACACAAAGCTATAGCTATAGTGACTATTTCAAGAACCTTTGTTTTTTAAATACTATAGCCTATTTTGACATCCTTTCCTTAGTTTAATTGTTAGGAAACGTATTTTATACCTAATTTTTCTATACGGCACAGTAATTTTGTTCTCTCTTTAAAACTGATAGAATGTATTGAGCTCAGAAATGAAAGTGTGTCTTTTCTATTTACGTACTGTATGTATTATAATCATTAAGATATTTCATAACTAAAAATAAAAATTTTAAACATACACATAGAGAAACAAGTACATATAGTAAAATAACATTTCAGCATTTTACAATATTTGCTTCAGGTCTCATTTAAATCAAATATTGGTTTAGTCCTACTCTCATCCATTTCTCCTTCCTTCCAAACCTCAGGTTATGATTATCCTCAAGCTTGTATGCATGTGTGTATGTTGTTTCCATGCATGTTTTAATATTTTTCTATATATTTATTCGTAAAACATGTATTTTTTCATTTAAAAATACACAAAATAGTATCCTATATATATCCTTTTGCAACATTTCTTATTCAACATTGTTTTTGAAATGTATTCACATAAGTAAAAGTGCATCTAGTTTTTATTTTTTATTGCTTTATAGAATTCAGTTGTATGAGTAAACCACTATTTCCCAAACGTGAAGTTATTTTCAATTTCCTGTTTTCAAATTTTTCTACTTTGCTAATTAGTGCTGCAATGAATATCCTTTATATGATTCCTTGTGCACATATGGGAGAAATTCTCCAAAGAGTCACCTAATTTTGTTTAATTCTTGAGCAATATATGTGCAAAAGCACGCAGAAGATGCTTAATAAATATTACCTAACATTGGATGAACATTCAAACTCTAGCTTTTATTTATCTTGTTAGTGTATCTAAATGCAATCATTATTTGAAATGAAAAAGCACACTGTATATTCGTTTATGTTAAAACAAATACAGAATATATGAATACTCAAGATCAAGCAGTAATACAGGATAATATGATTTAAAATAAAATATTAGCAGCTTTTATAGTAAGTCTTCAAATGCTTTATATTTTCTGGAGAAGTATGGTGGTGCCCTTATACCTTGCTTAAACTTTTTTAACTCTTGCAAAAAAAAAATTGTGATAGTGATTTGGTCCATGGTGCTTTGGACTGTAAAACTAAGAAAAACACAAAATAGAAAATTAAAAGGTGAGAAATGTGTGGGTTGTTTTGTCTTTTATTTAGAGATAGATACAGGTTATTTTCCTCTCTTTTTTTAAGTCATCTCCCCTTTTTTTGTTTTTTGTTTTGGTGAATGCAGGCATTTTCACTGGCCTCTTTTAAATCATAATCTACCATCTTAGTTGGATCAAGGTTTTGATTGCACATCAGAGTCATCTGTAAGACTTTAAAAAAAAGTTTCCAGGAGATTCCCATTCAGTGGTTTAGTGGTGGGAATGACTGTCCCTGTTTTTAAAAAGATTCTTTGGATGATTCTAATGTTCAGCTCAGATTGTGAAGCACTGTGCAGAACTAGGGACAAGAATGAGGCAGGAGAGGTTCCTTATTCTTGTGTAGGTTATTTTGAATCCTGTTTTTCTGAAGACACTGCAGAATGGGACTCTGTTAAAACCCAGCCATTTTGAGGTTGTGCTGCCAAGATAGATATACCTGCAAGTCTTAATTTGTCCTTTGTTGGAAATAGTAGACAGTGCTGATACAGATTAGACAGTGGAATAGACATAGAAAGAAAGAAAGGTTAATGGGGGATTGTGAATAGTATTGAAATAAATCTTAGGAAGGAAACTGGTAATATAAAGTTTGCAGGTTTTTACATGTTATTGAAAGGATCTGTGCAGACAACTCCATTTCAAGAATAAAAACTTTACAGCATACCTAACTTAAGTGCAGGGTTACAAAAAGAATCTGTTTCATATATTTCACTTGCTTCCCCATTATTCAAGAACTGATACTAAATTTATTTGCAAAGCAGTAGCAAAATGGAAAAAGAGCTCTTGGCCCTTATTTTTAGAACTTCTTTTATGGAATCTCTTCATGCTATATCAAGTTGTCGTGAGAAATACGGTTTGCATCTGTAAAAAGGAGCAAGTTAGCTCTGGAATTTGCCAAGGTTGTCATGTTTTTAGTAATTCCATAAAATTATTAACCCTTTTACTTGCGTCCAAAATGTCATTTTCCTAAGAATTATGAGGTATTTGATTTCCAATACAAATGTTGGAAAACGCTGACTAAAGTATGTATCTTTCTGTATGTGTGTATATGTGTGAATAATGGTCACTCCTTTCCCTTAGAAGATGGGCTTCATGGGATTGTGAGCTGCACAGCTTGTGGACAACAAGTCAATCATTTTCAAAAAGATTCCATTTATAGACATCCTTCACTGCAAGTACTTATTTGTAAGGTATGTAATGACCTGTTGATAATTAATTCCACAAATGTTTGAATGCTTAACATGTGTCAGACTTTTGATGCACAGTGATGAAGAAATAGTCTCTGCTCTTGCAATATATATATTGTATACACTTATATTGTAGTAAGAAAGACAGACATGAAAAGCCTAAAAAGTGCTATGATAGGGGAGATACTGTGTACTATTGAACACACAAGAAGCCTTTGTAATTTGGATTTGGGTATGGATGGCTTTATAATGCAGATGATATAGGCTGTTATCTGAAATATAAATAGGAATTAGCTTGGTGAGGTGGGATTTGTTCAGCATATTCTAGGCCAAGTAGTATTCAAAGGCTGGTAGGTGATGGAGAGTATGATGTGTTGGAAAATTGCACATACATGTATATGTGTGTACATATATACTTTATAACCTTCCCTCTTATGTACCCTAGTTACCCAGATCTAAACTCTTCATGTGGAGCAAGGTTTTCACATAATTTGGAGATAATAGAATTAAAAATGTTTGATATGTGTTGAAGATACTTTTAGCAGTCTGTGTACACTTTTCACATTTGATCTTAGCTAAAAGGCCAAGAAGCGATTTATGTACACTTTTATTAGTAATACCTTGGAGTTAATTTTAAATATCTATAATATCAAGGTTATGGTTTCCCCAACTCATGTAACTGCTAAGATTAATCCTGTGTTAGTTTGTTTCCCAATAGAATGCCTTTTTGAAACACAGGGGCAGACCAAACTTGCCTTAGAGTTCCAGTGCTAGATCTTACATGAATTTTTGATAGATGTAGACCTACTTAAATGTACTAAATTTACTTCCTCTTTTAGTAATTTGTGTCCTTTCTTTCCTTGAATTCATTTCAGGCAGGAGCCTATCTATGGTAGATGTCGTAGCCTCTAGTTTTAAATTGTGACAGCTGAATTTTAATATTGCTGTATTTGTAACATGCATTCCCTTTCTCTTATATATGCGATTTTTTTTCAAGGGCCAGTCTGTTGACCCTAGCCCATTTAAGTAATCAGTATTTTCATCAGTGGGCATGGAACCTTCCCCTTTCTCCAGTTCCAGTGAAAAGGAATTTAATTTAAAGTCAGTCAGACTTGGATTTGAATACCAGCTTTGCCTCTCGAAAATTGTATGACTTTAGGAGATCTATTTGCATATTAATGAACCTAAGCCTTTTCTCTCAAATTGGGCAGCAATACATCCTACTTTGCATAGTAGGAATTTGAGATTTAATGTGGGTTAATTAGGATAACGTTGCTCAGCTGCACACATAGTAGCTGTTTATATATGATAACTATTAAATTTATTAATTAGCAACAACATCTGGTACATTTTTGTGTAGAGCTTTAGTATCTCATCATATGAAATCAGAAATTTGCTTTACCAAAATCTTAAACTTTTATATAAGGAACAGCAGTGTTTGATGATACGGAATTCTGTTTCAAGGAATTTCTTGAGCTATTTCTGTGTCTGGAAACTACAAATATGGGTAGCACAGTGTTTCTGCTTCGTCTAAAACACACACACATACATACACATTCCCTTTATGTTTTTAATGACTTAAAAAATAACGTTTCTGTCCTTTATGAATGTTATCAATTTTCAATGAATTCCCCCTTTCCCTTTTCTTTCAATAGAATTGCTTTAAATATTACATGAGTGATGATATTAGCCGTGACTCAGATGGAATGGATGAACAATGTAGGTAGGTAATAAATTAAAATTAACTAAAATTCAATGTTGTCTACCTTCAGAGGGGAAACTTACAGTCTGTTATCGGATGCATTTTTGTACTATCATCATTGATGTCTTTAATGGAAGGTTGTTTTCCACAGAGGCTTTGGTTTATGTCTTAATTTTCCAATAAAGAATATGCAGATGACCTAAATTACTTTATTGTTAAAATTGCTGGTGGGAAAATTTAACTTGCTTTGATAATGAAAAGATTTAAAATGAATTTGAGTTGGGAGTAATATTTTAATCTTTAAATAATTTCAGATGGTGTGCAGAAGGTGGAAACTTGATTTGTTGTGATTTTTGCCATAATGCCTTCTGCAAGAAATGCATTCTACGCAACCTTGGTCGAAAGGAGCTGTCTACAATAATGGATGAAAACAACCAATGGTATTGCTACATTTGTCACCCGGAGCCTTTGTTGGACTTGGTCACGGCATGTAACAGTGTATTTGAAAATTTAGAACAGTTGTTGCAACAAAATAAGAAGAAGATAAAAGTTGACAATGAAAAGAGTAATAAAGTATATGACCATACACCCAAATTTTCTCCAAAGAAAAATAGTTCAAACTGTAATGGAGAAGAAAAGAAGTTAGATGATTCATGTTCTGGTTCTGTAACCTACTCTTATTCAGCACTAATTGTGCCAAAGGAGATGATTAAGAAGGCAAAAAAACTGATTGAGACCACAGCCAACATGAACTCCAGTTATGTTAAGTTTCTGAAGCAAGCAACAGATAATTCAGAAACCAGTTCGTCTACAAAGTTACGTCAGCTTAAGGCTTTTAAATCTGTGTTGGCTGATATCAAGAAAGCTCATCTTGCATTAGAAGAAGATTTGAATTCAGAGATTCGAGCTTTGGATGCTGTAAACAAAGAGAAAAATACCAAAGAGCATAAAGTCATAGATGCTAAGTCTGAAACAAAAGTACGAAAAGGAGAAAAACTCTGTGCTTTGGAAAGGAAGGATATTTCAAAATCAGAAGCTAAACTGTCAAGAAAGCAGGTAGATAGTGAGCATATGGATCAGAGTGTTCCAGTAGAGGAACAAAGAGCAAATAAAAGTACCAGTGGTGAACGTAAGAAATCTGATAAAAAAGAAGAACCTCAGTATGAACCTACTAACACTTCTGAAGACTTAGATATGGACATTGTATCTGTTCCTTCCTCAGTTCCAGAAGACATTTTTGAGAATCTTGAGACTGCTATGGAAGTTCAAAGTTCAGCTGATTATCAGGGAGATGGCAACAGTGGAACTGAGCAAGAACTGGAGGGTTCTTCTATAAAATTAAATATTGCTTCAAAAGACAGCAGAGGAGGTATTAAATCAAAAACAACAGCTAAAGTAACAAAAGAATTATATGTTAAACTCACCCCTGTTTCCCTTTCTAATTCCCCAATTAAAGGTGCTGATTGTCAGGAAGTTCCACAAGATAAAGATGGCTATAAAAGTTCCGGTCTGAACCCCAAGCCAGAGAACTGTGGACTTGGACAGGAAAAGAATGATAATGGGCATTTGGTTGAAAGTGAAGTTCCACTACTTTCAGAAGAATCTGATCTTCGAAGATCTCCACGTGTAAAGACTACACCCTTGAGGCGACAGACAGAAACCAACCCTGCAACATCTAATTCAGATGAAGAAAATAATGAAACAGTTAAGGAGAAACAAAAACTACCAGTTCCAATGAGAAAAAAGGATAAGCGGAATTCTTCTGACAATGCTGTAGATAATCCTAAACCTAATAAATTGCCTAAATCTAAGCAGTCAGAGATCATGGATCAAAATTCAGATTCTGATGAAGTGCTAGCAATCCTCAAAGAGGTATCCAGGATGAGTCACAGTTCTTCTTCAGATACTGATATTAATGAAACTCATACAAATCATGAGAAGACTTTGTATGATATAAACACTCAAACAGGAAAAGATGATAAAGGAAAAAGGAAACGAAAAAGTTCTACTTCTGGCTCAGATTTTGATATTAAAAAAGGCAAATCAGCTAAAAGGTCTACAATTTCTAAAAAGAAACGACAAAATCAGTCTGAATCTTCTAATTATGACTCAGAGTTAGAAAAAGAGATAAAGAGCATGAGTAAAATTGGGGCTGCCAGAACAACCAAAAGAAGAGTTCCAAATAAAGAAGATTATGATTCGTCCGAAGATGAAAAACACAGCAAGAAAGGAATAGATAATCAAGAGCAGAAAAGTTTGAGGACTACACAAGAAGGGTCATCTGATGATGCTGACAGGAAACAAGAGAGAGAGAATTTCTCTTCAGCAGAAGGCATAGTTGATAAAGACAAGACCATCATGGAATTGAGAGATCGACTCTCTAAGAAGCAGCAGCCAAGTATTTCCTCTGATGGTGCTGATAAACTTTCTTGTGGGAAAGAGGAGAGTTTTAATTCTCCAGAAGACAAAAAGGTTGCTGAAACTAAAGAAAAGAGTAAGCATCTGAAAACGAAAACGTGTAAGAAAGTACAGGGTGGCTTACCTGATGTTGCTGAGAAGTTCCCAAAGAAAGAACAGAGTGATGAATCCTCTGAAGATGATAAAAAGCAGAGCAAAAAGGGAACTGAGGAAAAAGAAAAGAAAACTGTAGACTTGAAGAGAAAAGTAATTAAGATGGAACAACAATATGAATCATCATCTGATGGTACTGACAAATTACCTGAAGGAGAAGAAATTTGTCATTTTCCTAAAGGCATAAAACCAAATAAGAATGACACAACTGATGGGGAAAAGAAAAGTAAAAAAATAAAAGATAAAACTTCTAAAAAGAAGGATGAATTATCCAATAATGCTGAGAAGTTACCAGGGAAAAGAGATAGTTGTGATTCTTCAGAAGATAAGAAGGGTAACAATGGAACATCCAGTAGACAGAAGAAAAGGTGCAACTTGCCTGAAAAGAGTTCAAGGAAGAGACAAGATTGTTCATCATCTGATGCTGAGAAATATTCCATGAAAGAAGATGGTTGTGATTCTTCTGATAAGAGACTGAAAAGAACTGAATTGAGGGAAAGAAGAAATTTAAATTTCAAGAGAAATACCAAGGAAGTACAAAGTGGCTCATCGTCTTCTGATGTTGAGGAAAGTTCTGAAGATAATAAAAAGCTGAAGAAACAAAGAGCTTCAGCTAAAAAGAAGGCAGGCAGTATCAAGGAGAAAATGAGAAACTCCCTAAGAACAAGCACTAAAAGGAAGCAAGCTGACATTACTTCCTCATCTTCTTCTGATTTAGGAGATGATGATCAGAATTCTGTAGGTGAGGGGAGCAGTGATGAGCAGAAAATTAAGCCTGTGACTGAAAATTTAGTGCTGTCTTCACATACTGGATTTTGCCAATCTTCAGGTAGGTGAAAATAAATAGAAAATATAATTTGTACATTTCCCCTCTTGAATCACTACCTTGTTTAATTTTCCCTGAAGTCAGTCAAATGCAAGGTTACTATTTAGGGAAAGACATTTAAAAATTCTTTAGAGATTTAGAGACTAGAGGTTCTTTTTCCATTTATTTTTATGTCATCATTAGGAGGTATTTCAAACATTGTTAGTATCCTGTATCAGGTATACCAGGTTTGTTGGTTAGATTTCTTTTTCAGTGTTCAGTGCTTTTCTTTGGAATAATTGAAAGTAATTTATAAAGGAATCAGAGTGGTGCTAATAGTTCAGTAGATATTTATTCATGTAGTAGAGATGAGTGCTTGACACTGATATAATATGTGTGAAAGTTTTAAACATGAAAGTTTGCCATGCATCTGACTTTTAAAATTGGGCAGATTATTTTTGTGTCCCATGAAATCCTCTGAAGAATTTAAATTTACTTCATTGAAACCCTTTGCTGAGGCTCATTAGTTGTTTTTTTTTGTAATGATATGAACAGATTTTTTATCTTTAACGCTAACAAGATAGAGGAAGAAAGAAATCCAAAAACTAGATAGATTTCCACATCGTGATGAAATAGATAGGGTTTGGGTCAACCAGTTAGTGATAACCCTCCCCCAAAAGAAGTTAAAAATAATTATTATTGCAGTTCTTTTAAAAACCCAGTTGTATGGTGTACATTTGTTACTCATATTGTCTTTTTTCTTTGTCAGTAAAACCTGTCTGTTAACCAGGGACACTTAAATTTAGTTTAAAATTTTTATAAAGTAGATTTCACTTATAACTGTGTTCTCAGCAAAAGCAGAATGTTTAAAATTTTCCTTTCATTCCTTTTGTTGGGATTTTCCTCTTACCCAAATTGAATTTGAGTGAAAATAACTTGAATCTTGGGTTTTTTTTTATTGAGTTATAGTCAGTTTACAGTGTTGTGTCAGTTTCTTGAATCTTGGTTTTTAATAAAACTTTAAATCCCTTTTATGGAGCCCAAATGAGTTGGTTTGAAAACCAGATGTGATATGCATTGTATACTCAGTTTAATGCTCTGTTACATTAGATGCCAGTGGAGTTCTGCTCATATGGCGGTTGTAACTACAGATCCACACCACAGTCCCTGATATTCTTGAGGCCTAACGTGTTTCAAAATTTTCAGCTGTTTTGTTTTTAGGAAGATAATATAGAGTAGTTGCTATATATTATATGATAGTTCCAATAGATCCTGAGACAGCACCCCCCTAATCAAACACACTAATATTTCTGCAGCAAAACATGAACATTTACACTTAAGAGGAATAAACAGTTCAGATCAGATTTTGCTGTCAAATCAACTTAGGCACCACCTTACAAAACTTTAAATTTTGAGAGCTTTTTGGATTTTAGAATTGTATATGAGATTGTGTACTTATATTCAAAACATTCCAATAGTTACTTGGATATAAAATCAATGTTTTAGTTATCAGGTTAGTTGGAAAAACTTATTAAGGATTAAAGTATGAGAATAATAAGTTGTGATTAGTTACATGGAGTATTCTCGCCAGCAAATTCTAGGCTATTGAACTAATCAAATTTTGGAAAACTGGTTTCTATGATTAAACAGCTTCTCTAGTGAAATGAACATGTTTTATTTCAAATACTAAGTTTCTTTTCCCAAAATTTCACTTGATTTAACATATGTGAGGGTTTCTATGATATACTTTTCATGTTTGGAGCTATTAATACGTAGTATAGTAAGTAATATATATTCATTAGATCTTAGTAAGAGATGGCAACATATGACAAATACTCAGAAGGTTCAGTTCCCTTTTCTCATATTTATATCCAAAGAAACCTTGAGAATTCAGCACTTCAGATGCCAGTCTCTCAGCTATTTGGTGGAACAAACCTTGTTTAGATTTTCTTCACCCTGGATATTTCTTGAGACTGATTACTTCAAGATGGAAAAAAATATAAATTTGTTAGAGAATTAACACATCTAAAAATTGGACTTGTCAATAGAAATACTTCGGCGGAAAAGAATACGCAGGGCATTGAAAATAAGCATACGTAAAAGCACTGTTTTTCAAGATAAGTTTAAGTGCGAGCCAATGATAAGCGGCATTCCTTAAGAATTTGCTTGCATGTGTATATAAGCATGCTAAATATATTTATTCTCCTAATATGTCCAACTTAATTTAGGTGACAGTTTGTATGAGCTCTTAGCCTCCCCTGCCCCGTGAATTTAGAGGATTCCAATTTATTCAGCAATAGTTGGCTACCCTATTACAGATTACATTTTCCTAGAAGTTGGGGCTTGGGAATGGCATGACCAACCAAGATGAAGAACATGGTCCTAAGGAGACTGTAGTCCAGTGAGAAAGATAGACATAGATAAATAATTATTTTCAAAGAAAAACAATACCAGAAGAAAAGTAGGAAACTAAAATGGGACTGTGTGATAAATTGCGTGAGCCATTTAATCTGAATATTGGAAAAAGACTTAAAAAAGCAGGTAGCATTTGAACTAGACTTTGAAGGATGGGTCAGATTTTCAAAGGTGTGATAAAGGGGAACAACAGTAATATCACTAGGAACATTTCATTTCAAGATTGGTCTGTTTGAATAAGGTATATACTGTGAGTTTGCTAAGGTATTGTGAGATTTATTTTTGTCTTTCTATATTTAGCATATTTCTATCCTGAACTTGTAGGTGTCTGTGTTTGCCTTTCTATATTTAGCATATTTCTATCCTGAACTTGTAGGTGTCTGTGATTTTTTTCTCCAACATTTCCCCCCTGTATTTTAGTATGAAAAAATGTTAAATATACAGTAAAATTTCTGCTGTTAACATTGTACTATATTTACTTTATCACATGCCTATCTATATATCCTATCTATCCATCAGTGTACCTTTTTCTTTGCCCTTTTAACTGTATTTTGAAATAATTGCAAATTCACAGGAAGTTGATTTAAAAAATTGTACAGGAATGTCTTAAATGCCGTTCATTCACTTCCCACCAATGGTAACATCTTGCATGATTATAGTATAATGTCAGAACCAGGAAACTGAAGATTTGTTCAGATTTCACCAGTTTTACATGCACTCCTTCATTTGTGTGTGTGTGTGTGTGTGTTTGTGTGAAAGTATAGTTCTGTGCAATCTTGTATCGCATGTAGCTTTGTATAGCCATCACCACAACCAAGATATTGAACTGTTTCATTACTGCAAGGTTCCTTTGCAGTACACTCCATTGTATATCCCCATTCTTAACCTCTGGCAACTGTTAATTTGATTTTCATCTGTAGTTTTGTTATTTTGAGATGGAATCATGACATATGTAACCTTTTGAAATTGTGTTTTTTCATTCAGTTTCATGCTCTTAAAATCTTTGATGCATTTGAAAGTAAATGGTAAACATCAGCATAATTCTGATTACTTCAGCATATATAGTATTAACTAGAGTACAGTGTTTAAGTTTATTTTTGAGGCAACATTTACATACAGCAAAATATACAAATCTTAATCTCTAGGTTTTTAATCAAAGGATAGAAATGTTGCTTTTTTATAAGGAATTAAGTTTTACTGTACTTGAATATATCTCTGAGTGATTCTACTCATGAATACCATATGAATTCAAGCATATTTTGAAATTACTTGGTACTACTTAGTATTAATAGCAAATTAGACATCTGTTAACTTTAAACTTAAAATGGATCACTATCAAGGTTATTTCAGTAAGAAACTTAGGCTAATATGATGGTGAATGGTAAAGATTTGTTACTGTGAAGGATGAGTTTTAAATCTGTTATGTTCTGGAAAGGAACTTTGAAATATACAAGATCCAACTATTTGTTAATTTATTGCTGTCACTTGTTAATCCCCATTGTTCCTTATAAATTCCTTTTATTCATGTTTTGGATCCCAGAGAATCCACTAGTTGTTTTAAAGTTTTTGGCTTTCAGTTTTACTTTACATGGTTTTACTTATATAGATAATTTAAAGCTAATTTTAAGTACACTTTTGTTCCCTCAAGGAGATGAAGCCTTATCTAAATCAGTGCCTGTCACAGTGGATGATGACGACGATGACAATGATCCTGAGAATAGGTATGATTCCATCTGTAAGGACTTTAAAAAGATTATAACACACCCTAGGCGTGGGCACAAACAGCAGCAACGGAACCGCAAGCAGGTTGTAAAAACCAGGAGTGCCTGCCTTAGAAAGACTCAGTCACAGTCTTCCCGCAAGTTTGAAAGAAAAGCCAGAAAATGGGCTAAAACTCAAAAACCTTAAGAGAAAGTAAATAGAAATATTAACACACCTAGCATAGGGTGTGTTATAAATACAGTACTGTCAATTTTTATGTTTCCATGTAAACTGTGATACTTTTTTGAGAATATTTTAATTTTGACAGATTATTTTATTGGTGAAAGGAAATCATATCTCAATAAATTGGTGACAGCAGACATCTCTTTCCTCAATATTTGATTATTGTTTTTTAATTGCCATCCAATGTGGTGGTCCTATTCATTAAAAGCTGTTCAAAATGAAAAAAAAGGGATTGTGCAGATATTTAAGATTAAGAAATTGCTTTCATAATAAGTATCAATTTATGAAGTGTCTAGACTGATTTAGATTTTAATGATTTTTCAAATAAAGTAGAAGTGGACAGTATGATAATATTAACTTTAACAGTACTTAACAATAGGTTTAAATGTGAGAGTGTAGCCTGTACATTTGACCTAAGGGATAGCTGAGAGAAGAAAAAATATACCCCCATATCCTAGCAATGAGGAATAGAGAAAACACAGCTATTAAAAGGTATAACTATAATGTTTTTACATATTTTTTTAAACCCTTCCTGGACTATAGGATACCCCACACCAATGATCTTCAACAAAAGAACAGTGTTGTATAGTGGATAGAATTTTGGAGTATAATAATAGCTGTCTGTGTGATCTTGGGCAAGTGACTTAACTACTCTTTGCCAAAATTTCCTGATCTCTAAAATGAAAGGTTTGGATAAAATATTTTCTGATTAATTCTAGCACCAAAAATCTGATAGACTTGATGGTTTTACTACAGAGTACTATATTAACTATCCATTTATTTCTAATAGTAAGCTCTAATAATTAAGAAAACATGAAAATAAACATGTAATTTTTGTGTTATAATTTTGTAAGGAATTAACTTTTGAGTTAGTAAATGCTGTGGGGTCAGCTGTTACTCTAGCTCTGTTTTAAAGACATTTTACTGATGCTGATAGGTTTTTCTGTTTCAAAGATCAGCATTCTTCTGATTAATAGGAGAGCATTTTTATTAAGGTGAATGAACAATTTTATTTTGCACTTTTGAATAGAGCTTAATTATGAATACAAAGACTCAGATGCTGCTTACCTACTTATTTTTTTATTAAAAAATATATCCAATTATTTTATGGGGTAGGAATGGGGTCCAGAATGTAATGGTGAAGGCATACATTTTATTCAACAGGGATTTTATATATAAGTATATGATCACAGTGAAAGCATTTAAAATTTTATTCTCTTTTAAAATGCTTTAATTCCTTTTCATTTGTTTATGCTACTATTTGTTTTCCTGTAAATCATAAGGCCTCAGATGTTATTGAAAGGCTAATAATGTTTAAAACATGCTATATCCTAATTTACTTATGAGTTATGAACCTTAATTTCATATTTAACCACTAAATGAGAGTGTCATTAAGGTATGATAATTTTTTGTTAGAGCTTGTCCAAATATAACTATCATTTTCATCTTTTAAGTTACTCAATCATATCTCTGTAACTGACAAGTATTTTATTGGAAGGATCTTTAATTCCATCTTGTATTTGTGATTAAAAAATACAACCCTGTTGAGTACTTTTGAGAAGAATTGAATTTTATCTTGAGCATGTTTTTCTTTATACTCAGTTTAATGTGCTTTTATAAAAATACCATTAATAACTTGTTTCATATCCAATATGCCAAAGAGGTGTCTAATACCCATGGGTTATCTAATTGATGGGGATACAAATACCTTCTTGAATTATTTTAGTATAGACAATGTACTTGAGCATATTTGAATATGCACTGAGCAACTTTTAAAAATTTGTTTTCAGACCATAATTATATCTTGGAATTATTTTTACGTTTCACATTTTTGAGTAGGATGTATTTTGGTAGATACCTTATTGTAATTGTGTATAAATTTGTACACAATTGTGTAATTGTGTATAAATTGTATAAATTTCATATGCTTTGCCTTTTTAGCAATATTGTAATACATTTTCAGTATTGATGTTTATGGAGAGGTAAATAGTGTATAATGCAGATGGTTAACTATTTGGATGCAATAAATTCCTGTAAAACTTTTTTCTTGTTCAAGCATTTAATTTTAATTATAATGCATTTTTCATGAGAATTGAAAGAATTTGTGAGAACCAAGATATATAAACTAGTTTGTGGCCAAAGAAGTTTTGATATTTCTGAAACTGAGGAAGTAAATACTTTATAATTCTCCAAACATATATATTTGTATATGACATATATACTTATATATATTTGTGTGAAAGTTTTACAACAGATTTCACTATTATTTATCTTTTCTGTTTTAAAGTTATAATAGCTTTTGAGGTCATTTAAAAAACTTAGTCACGTCCTGAATATTTTAGTAGAAGTGAGTAAGTTTCTGTTATTTTAGCATACTATTATGTACTATCATTCATATTTGGAAGTAAATGTATGCTGTTGTGAGATAGAGTGGTCTAACTTGTAAAATAGTTTATATTTAATGGTATTTATTTAAGAAACAATGATGAAAATTATAGAATCATTGACAGGTACAATTTTTTGCTTGTGCTTTTTAGAAAAAAAATAAGTAGACTTTGTATTTTGAATTTTTATAACAGAATTTACTTCAAATTTTATAGATTGTATATGCTTTTTGAAAGAGAGGATAATATCAAACAGCTTGTCAGGTTATTTTAATTATACATGTAATTTTAAAGTCAGTTATTTGAATGTGCCATTTTGTTAATGTTGCCTTTCAAATATTTGTTAGTTATGTTTTAAATTGGTTATTTCATTGAAAGGATATTTAATATCCTATGTTTTGATACCTGCACTGTGAATCAGCCTCAATGATAAGATGGTAGTGTGATCTGTTAACAATGATAATGTTGAGGATCATTAAACTAGACTTTTCTTTAGAGGCTCCTTACTGTACAATCAGTGAAGAATCCATTCCCCTGCTAAAAAAAGAACTATTTTAGAATATTCTTTATTTGTATACTTTTAGGGTGTGAAAAATATTTAAAACTGAGCTTTTAAGAGAAAAAAACAGATTGCTAGATTTTTTTTTTATAAATAACTGTTCTTTTTTTAAAATCCCAGTTTTGCTTAAAAGCTGAGCTTTTTGTATGGATACCCTCTCCTGCCACACACATACGTATATTTACTTTATAGTTGAAGAATGCTTACTTAGTTGGGTCTCTCAGTGGGACTAAATAATTCTTTTTTTTTCATAGAAGCAAAATTTGATGTGGAGATTGCTTAATGAAATTGCCCATTGTTAATTGAAGTTCTACTTAATTATTGTGGGACTACACCATAGCCTTCAAATTTCCCAACTGTTTTATCATTTGATAATACTTTGCCTTTCAGACCAGAAAATATGCAAATGATTTTTTTTCCTACTAGCTTGGTGTGGGTATTCTGTTGATGCAGGCTCTGTACTGTTAATCCAGCATATTTTTGGAAGTGATTAATGATTCCTGGATGTTGTTCATGGTAATGAAGATATTTAATGATTGTTTCCCTAATTTCAGCAACTATTAATGGCTTGAGCAGTTTCAAGTCCCTTTGACATAAGACTTTCACTTGGTTTCCATTTTAAACATTTTTTCAGATGTTCGTCTTCTATATGTCTTTGTGCTATACAAATTTGCTAAATCTGAAATAATTTTTTCTGTGAATTTTTTTTCCATGGTGGTCCTATTTGGTTAGCAAAATTGCTTTGGTTCTCCTTTATTATACTTGAAAAACGAAGGTAGCATTTTAAATGATTATTTTACTTGTTTTATGTTTGAGTAAGGGTTTTAAATGTCTGGCAATTTTAAGGTAATTCTTTTTCAGTTTACTTTCTCTTTATAGTGCAGGTAAGTATTGTAAGTCAAGTATAATAGAGGTGTCTAGCCACTAGAGAGGATCTGTTTGTGAATATCTAAACTGGTTGCAGTTGCCACCAGCTCTCTTTTCTATGCTAGAATTCCTAGCAAGCAAGGAAATATGGTCAGTAGTGATCTCTCTGCTTAAGATATAAACATTATATTCAGCCCTCCTTACCTGTTCTCTGTTCTTTGGTGATATTGGGACGTCCAGATAATGAGAAGTAGCACCCATCCCCCCCAAAAAAGAGGGGAGAGTGGATTTTCTAGTGTTAGCCAGAAGAGTTCATTTTTCTGACTTTATATATGTCTTTGTCTTTAGCTTTGCATTTTAAAAATAAAATTGAGACAAATAAATTCTTTGTTTTTACTAGTTCAGGTATAAAAATATTGAACTAGTTCTTTTATATGATCAAATTTCCTAAATATATATCAATGTTAATAATTTTTTTCTTAAAATTTCCTCTAAAACTGGCCTAAATTTTTACATAAAATCAGGGAATACACCTTTTGTTATTTGAGCCCATGTATGAATTATTCATAAACTGTGGGTTCTTAATTTCATGCAGCTTTTATTTTTCTACTCCTAAATTTTTTTTAAAAAATTATTTGATACCAATTTTAAGAAAACAGTGATGTTTTTCGCTAACTGCAAATATTGTTGAACATGTGACATAAAAATGTTTCAGGCTGTTGTTTAGCTTTTGGTTATTTAATGACTTCATTATCTCATGAATGCCACTCTTTTTAGGTACAGATCATTATGCCTTAATTATATTTTTTAATAGGTTCATATCAAGGTACTAATTTTGAACCAAAGAGTTAAAAAAAATACTAATAAGGATTTTGAAGATGAGGAATTCCTTTGTAAATGTATGAAATATTTAATTTTTTATTCTTAATCCTGAAGTACATAACATTTATTAAAACAAAGCCTCTCACCCTACTAGAAGGATATGTGTGCACCACTCTGTTCTCACAAAAAATAATCAATTTTTGGCTGTATTCATTTTAATTTTTTCACATGTCAACCTTTTATATATGGTACAATGTTTTAGTACTACATTTATTTAGACAGTTTTTTTCTATCTCTAAAGGGCGTGCATTTAAACCTATAATCTTATTCAGAATTCTGTTTTAACTGTTCTTTTGCGATATTGTGCACATAATGTAAAAAATAATTTGAAAAATTTGTGACCTTTGTGTATGGATGCACAGAATCTTCAACTTCTAAAAATGTATTTTTCATTTAGCAACTTTCTTCAAGCCTGTTTTCAGAACCTCTTATAAAATATAACAGTAGATTGTAGGATGTATCTGAGATGTCCTGTCTGCGCTTTAGGGGGATGACACATACTGGACTAAAGATCTAACTCTTTGTTTTTAATCTTTAAAAATCAAAGCTTGAATTCTTTCATTTCTAAATATACATATTGGAAATCAGTGAAATACAGATATCTTTAAGAATGTGACTTGTAGTGTATTGGCCCAAGCACTCATTAGCACAGTAGTAGTAAATGAGTACAGAATGTAGCACTGGCATAGTAAAATTAGTAGCAGATTGGGATTCAGGATCTTAGGTCCTACTCCTGGCTTTGCCACTAACTAGCTTTGTTTCTTTGGCCAAGTCATTTCCCCTCTTTAAGCCTGTTTCTTCCTCTGTAAAATGACAGAATTAGACTCTAAGGTCCCTTCTTCTAGCTCTAACATTTTGTGTTGCTTTTGTAATGGCTGTTTCTCTAAAACTCCCTGGTGTAAGAGATCTTTCTCTTGATCCCTCCTTTTTAAGAAACTCAGTGTTTTGAATTAGTGATTTACCTACCAGCAAGAGGCAGTTTACTTTCTTTTTCTATTTGAGTTCTTAAACAAGAGACATTACTGATTTCCTTTGTAGATAGGATCAGAATGAATAAAAGCTTTCTTGACTCTCTCTCTCTCTCTCTGATTGCTCGTTTGTCTTTGCATTGTTGGGCTCATTCTTTATTTTTTTTTTGTTTTATTTTAGTAGGTGAAGGTGCAAGGTGTAATAGGGCATTATCTTCGTATTCATTATGTGATTTAGAAGGCTTAGCTTGTTTGGGTTTTGGGGTTCTATTATTTATTCTCTCATGCACCAGTTCCGATCATTGTTTGTTTGTGGGTTTTTACCCTCCCTCCTGTATGTTTTGCTTTCTCCCCCTTCCCTTCCCTCCCTTTCAGGAAAATGGAGGAGTGGCTCCATTACTTCCAGCTCTGCCCAGGTTTTCTGCCACAAGAGTGGCACAGCCTGTGCCTCTAATGCTTCTGATAGAGTCGTGACTGCTTTGGATGCTACACCTGCCCCAAGATGTAATGTTGAGCATTGAGATTCCAGGGGCAGTACCTTGTTGTCTGGATGATTTTCTCAGAAACGTCCTGGAAAGCCTCAAGAAAGGAAACTTCAGAGCAAACAGAATCAACTAGGGATCATGACTATACATCCATCACATGCATACCAGCATGGGTCCAGCCGAGGCCTCCAAAATGATGCTTTGCCAGCCTCAGCTGGTTCTCAAGTGATGATGTCCTTGAAGTCTCTGTGGCCCGTGACTCAAGAGTTAAGGTAGTGGAGTTTCCCTTAAAGCATCTCACAGCAGGCTTTGTAGATGGGACACATCTCACCTCAACATGTTTGCTGAATACTCAGGTTGAAGGTCAGCCTCAGCCCTTAGGCCTTTAGGCCCTTAGGCCCTTCAAGTTAAGTTCTAACTTTGAGTTGTAGGTTTTGTGATAGGCTAGGTTTATGATACAGAGGGTCTTTGACATATTGGACTTGATCTATCAGCCATAATTTATGTAAAATAATTTAACTTTATTATTCTTTTGGGGGCTTAAGGTATATAGCTATATATTAGGCTTTCCTTTGGTCGAAAGGTGTTAGAGGGCAAATTTAAAACATCTTAGTTGAGGTAAAGCTTAGGGATTTTCCATCAATCTGTGTAACTTTCAATTTGGAGAAAAATTGTCATTCTCTTAAGTTTGTAATTTTTTTCTGCTTCTAAAATATCTGTGATTGTTCTATATCTTATGGTCTTACTGAAGGTTGATAAATGAAGTAATTCTTCAGTGTGTGGATATCATTTCATTTTTCATGATTTATTAGTTGATATAACATCTCATTATCTTATGTATATCATATTTCTTAGTTTCTTCACAACAGTTCAGAATTACAGTATGAATTAGGTAGGTTTATATATTCTGACCCTCCATTTAGTAGACATATCAGAGGAGTCTAGAGTTTGAAGAAGAAACATTATGTGGTTTATTAAAATTAACAACCAAGTCTTTACAGTTAAAAAAATTTAAGACATTTTTTAAACTTGTAAATAGAAACTGAAATCAGGTGATTCAGCTAACCCTTAGAAGTAACTAAATTAGTAATTGTGTTTTTGTTGGCTATTATTGTACCAACCAAATGGTGATATAAGATCTATTAACTGCAAGTAAAGTATGTTTTTCTATTTGTAATCTAGTATCCAGTGCTTCATGTTATATACACACACGTGCATATACACACATGTGGGCATATTTATTCATTCCAGAACAGTGGTTTTGCTCAAATTGGCCTGAGAAAGTTTTCCCTTGTTCATAGGAAATGACAATGTGGTGTGTATTAAAGATGATTTTAGGGAGTTCTTCCAGAAAGATGCTTTTAATAAATTTGAAGACCCACCCTTTATTTTGAAACTGTTTCCTAATTTGTGGAGGGTGTGTTTATTTTATAAAATGATGAAAATAAATGTTATTTGGGCTTAAATTTTTTTATTGGCAAAATGAAAAGCTGGCAACCCTATATTAGTCCTCATTATTAAAACATTTGCTGTGTGCAATCCAAGTCAGCAAACTACTAATGTAGAAGTTTAAGAGCAACACTTAATATTAATAGCTCAACCCCAGTAGGATTTAAATCAAAGTGATCTAATCTCCACTTCATTAAAATGCAAATCAGGGTGGAAACTCTGAGAAAAGGTAGCTCATCTGTGGTTTCCTTTTGCAATTGGTAACTTTCTGTGTTGTCTAAATATTTCTGATCCATCTGTTTAGAGGGGAAATACCCAAAGGCATATAATAAGCATTTATGGAAGTGATTACCTATATTGTTTGCTCATTCTGTTTAGGTACCTTTGCTATATATCTTTATATAAATAACAATGAACAATCTTCCTTTCAAATAAAGTTAAGAAGGCATTAACATGCATTAACATCTCCTACCATTGAAAGAATTCTTGATGGAAATGTGAGTGCATGTTAAGAAATAAAAAGAGAAGTTTCTAACCCAAAAATAACAAAAGTTCCGTAATTCCACCTGCAAGTTTTGGCAGAGCTAGAGAATCAATCTTGATTGCAGAGTGGATGTTTATCCACATAGAAGTTAATTCATAGAAAATCAAGAATCATGTCAACTTTTGAACCTTTCTGCAAGGTATTCCTTTGTTAGTGTGATTTATGAATTTATGTCAAAATGTGCAAAATACCTCATCTGGCACAAAAGCTGCTTTTATCTTACATTTTCATATGTCTGTCTTTAGTGCAAACATGGAAATTTACTAGGAATTTGTTTTATTTTTATATAAAATGGTATTAGCTAAAGAAGTATTTTCTTGTGCTTTTAGTAGTTGATTTTTTCATTAGCAAATTGATCTTTGAGGAGTATCTTGAGAAATTTTGGACTGAGTGAGGCTAATGCACTGTCTGCTTTTTTCAAAAGTAAAAACTCATTTATGATAATTTGTGTTCTTTTAAGTATGAACGTGGTTAATAGCACCCTTGCCCCTTCTCTGCCCTAGTTTGAATATTATTAGGGATTTTTTATTGCTTCAATACTTAATATGTGTTGTGTGCTTTTATTTGGTTAAAAGAATTTATGAAATAAAATGAAATTTAAGGGCCAAAAATATTATCCACCAACTTGAGGCACTGTTTCGTAATAAAGTGGTTTATTACACACTGATTTTCTAAGAACGTATTTTGCTGTTAAATAAATCCTCTCATGTGGAGTTTTGTGTTGGACTGACATTTGTCTGAATGAATTGATTTAGTATTGTGGGCCTGTCTGGTATTGTAGTTGTTGGATGATGGCAGGAGAGGAAGTATAGGATTGGAAGGTTATCCAGCATGAAGCTGCAATTGGTCAAAATAGTAGAAATGTCCCTGAGATTTTTCAGTATATTGCAGAATTGTATAGAATTGGGGGGAAATCAGTGCTAAGAGCATTTTCAAAAGTTTTCATTGGTAGCTTAGGTTAAAACATGGTTTTGGTAGATTTTATTTACAATAAAAAAATCTATTGACACATTTATTTTCATTTTGATACAAAGAATACTTTTTATTTTTAGTTTGTTATACTTCACCACCAAATATATAGTTTTTATTGTCTTTTTACTTTCAAGAATTGCCAAGAAGATGCTTTTAGAAGAAATTAAAGCCAATCTTTCCTCCGATGAGGATGGATCTTCAGATGATGAATCAGAAGAAGGGAAAAAAAGAGCTGGAAAACACAATGAAGAAAACCCTGGAGATGAGGGTGAGCACCCCAAAGAGAAGTGTAGGATGTCATAATTAGATTATTTGACCAATTCAGTCTTTGAAGACTGTCTGACCATGAAATCTCTTAGCACACACATTTGAAATTTATTAAAAAGTTTAAAACTGTACTACCTTTGCCTCTTTTGAGTATCTGGTAATAATTGTGCATGTTTTGTCAGTTACTGACAATAAACACATGATTTTTAAAGCAGAATTTTTTTACTTTTTAAATCTACTAATTTGCATTGGTGTTACTTAATATTTAAAAACAGTAATAGAGCAAGTTTGATGTATGAGATTGCCTGGTATCACCAGTGATGCCAAGATAAGTACATAGCTCTGATCTTTTCCATAAGTTGTGATAATTGTCAACAAATAAAATATGTAGTTTTGCAAGACATTTTTAAGGAAAAAAGGCTGGTTTTACTGATATATTTTCTTCATTTAGAAGCAAAAAATCAAGTCAATTCTGAATCAGATTCAGATTCTGAAGAATCTAAGAAGCCAAGATACAGACATAGGCTTTTAAGGCACAGGCTGACTGTGAGTGATGGAGAATCTGGAGAAGAAAAAAAGATGAAGCCTAAAGAACACAAAGAAGCCAAAGGCAGAAACAGAAGGAAGGGTAAGACATTTAAATTCTGATAGTAAGGAACATACATACTGGTTTTATAAACTGACTATAGTAGTGAAATTTAAGTACCTATGCTGCAACAGTTGACTACCTATATCGAGTATCAGCACACTGACAACAACTGTTCTGTCAGGGTGAAATAAAGAATTTAGAGTGGGAAGATAACCCAGAGACTTGAGAGATGACACAAAGAATATTTTTAACCTTTAGTAGTCATCATACACATTTAGATTAAAAAGATAAATAGAGTAATAATTAAAATATACATTGATATTATGTAGAAAATAGAACTGCCTGTAACTGCAGGAAGAAATAATGCTTTCCTGAGGAAAGATAGAGGATGCAGTTAATTTGGATAGATTTATGCAAGCTTAAGAGTCTGAATCCTTCTGCATTGAGTGCTTACATGTTTCTAGCATCATGGTAAACACTGAGGATACAAAAATGAATAAGGAAATCATGGTCTTATGTGACGGTTTTCAATATGCAGATCACTTGGAGAATTTAAAAATATACCTATGACAGGGCTCCATCCCAAGCCAATTATAGCATAATTGGTGGTGGTAGGACCTCAGTATGTATCCATGTGTTTTAAAAGCATCTCTGATATAATTCTGACATCTAGCCAGGTTTGGCAGTCACTGGTTTAGTAAGAATTATTGACACTAACATTACAAGAAATTTTATAGCACCATGAGGGTTGTCTTCTATAATAGAGTATTGTATAATGTGGCACGAAGAGAATTTCTTTAGTTTCTTGGGGGATAGGGGTGTCTCCAGAGAAGGCTTCACAAAGATGAAGCATTTCACTACCAGATCAAGTTCTAAGTGGAGAGCAGGCAGATGTGAAGATTTATAATACAAACAGGGATAAACTTTTATAAGCCTCTTCAAAATGTTTAGCACATGGTGGAGGGGATGCAGTTAATGCTATAGCTGGAGTATAGGAAGGAGTAGGGAATGGAACAGCAGGAAATTAGGCTGGACCAATAAGACAGAGACCAGATACTGGAGATCTTTGTAAGCCTGTGTTTCTCAAACTGAAGTACTTGGCAGTGGACTCAGATAGGTACATGAGGCTATAGAGTAAACATGGTACATCTGTTTGGTGTGTTCATTTTACTTGAGAGTTGAGGGAGAGCATTCTTCTAATAAATAATCATTTATTGGGCAGTTAAATGTGAAATTTGCTTGAGAATTTTGGTTAACAAATTCAAAGAAAGTTTTTTCTTCTTTGGGGCAGAGTCTGAAGACTTTAGTGCCCAACTCCCAGAGGGTAGATTAGCTCTTCCTTACCACTAGGAATACAAAAGAATTTTTGGAAGTGTCTGAGAAATACAATAGGCTCTATAGGCTGGAGAGCCATTGAAAGATTTTTAAATTTTTTTAATTTTAAGAATTATTTTTATATTATTGCAATATTGAGATCTAATTCACAAACCATATAGTTTATCTGTTTAGAGTACAGTTGTTTTTAATATATTCACAGAGGAGGGCCACCATTTTTTTAAAAACTTTTTATTTAAGATATACATACGGAGAAGTGAGTATTTCATAATTGGACAGCTTGATGAACATGTATGGCACCTAGATAAAGGCACAGGATATATTCATTACTAGCACTCAAGAATCACAACTTCAACACAACCACTCATTTTTCCCATTGAAAGATTTCAACCAAGGATGAAATATGGTCAGATTAGTTGTCTGTGAGACTGTGAGCATTGAATCTTACTTGAAAGTTATTGCTATAGTTGATGCCAAATGTGATTGTCATGGTATATGTATAATATAATAGTGGGATTACTCAATGAAGCTGTAATGTGCAACTGGAGGGCTAAGAAGAGAATCTTGGAATCCTGAACATTAAAAGAGTTATTGAGCAACAGTTATCCATTAAAGAAGAAGAGGAGGGTTTCCCTGGCCCCCACATATACTTAATATGTCATGGATATTTTCATGTTAATAAATAAATACTAGTACCTCATTTTGTGAAGGCTTATCTCATAAATTTCTTTGCAGCATGACTGCAAGCTGGTCTTTTAGATTCTGTAAAGGAGCTGAGCACTTTAACATGTTACATAACAATGTGAATTCCCAAGCATCTTCAACAAAAGAAGAAATATTTTGCCTCTGAGGCTTAGCTCAGGGTATAGAATCCTGTAGTAGGCCAAATGCATTTGAAATTTTTATTGAAACCCAAGTTTTCTGTGACCTATGTTTCCACTGTTTTCTCTTCTCTGAGTAGTACCCACATGTTCTGTGTGTGTGTGTGTATTTGTTCATATGTGTAGAAGGGAGTAAACTAAAATCCCATCATACTTGTGTTTCTAATATGGATTGTGATCATAGTGATTGATACTACATTTGGAGTTGAATGATTTTCCAAGTTTTGCAAACTCTGGTGTCCCTATATTGTCTGGAAACTTAAGTTGTACAATGGGGAGAAGTCAGAAACAGATAGCTTAATCAAATGTAGCGTGTGAGCTTTAATTTTCACCTAAATTTGAAAAAAGTTACAAAGGTTATATTGATGATAATTAAAAAAATGAAATTATTGCCTTTATAGTAGATGATGTTAAGTTGATATTTCCTGAAGTCTAATAATGAGATTTAGGTATGTAAGATAGTATCCTTATGCTTAAAGATTAAGTGTCAAGATACCTGCACTCAGTTTCAAATGGTTCAGTGCAAAAAAGTGTATATGTATGTTCAGAGAGAAATAAAGGAAATGTGGTAAACAGTTAATAAGTGAATTTAGGAGAAGGGATACAAGTGTTCACTCAACAATTCTTTCAAATTTTTGATTGGTTTGAAAGGTTCAAAATCAAATGTTTGATGACAAATTAATACTTAAAAGTCTTAAAATTGTATCTCACAGGATTTGCGTGTGCATGCATGTGGATATATGTTCTCCCAAATTTCCAGTTACTTGACGTTTCTTTTTTATTATTTTTTGTTTTTTTATTGTGGTACAACATGCATAACATAAAATTTTAACCATTTTTAAGTGTGCAATTCAGTGGCATTAATATATTTACATTGTTGTGCAACCATCAACACTGTCTCCGGAATTGTTTCACCATCCCAAACTGAAACTCACTAAACAATCACTCATCGTTTCTCTCTTCCCACATAGCAAGGCTTTATGTTGTTTATGCTTGCCTATGTTTTTTTAGATAGAACAGACCTTTGATTCTGATGTCAGCTCATGAGATGTATTCTAAAAATTTCTTATCTTGAAATAATTTTAGATTTATAAAAGTGTTGCAAAAATAGTAGAGTTCTTGTATACCTTTCACCCAGATTCCCTAATTTAACACCTTATACTTACTGTAATACGATAATCAAAATTGGGAAATTAACATTGATGCAATACTATTAACTAAACCAGGGGTTGGCAAACTACACCTTTAGGCTAAATCTGATCTTCTGCCGGTTTTGTAAATATAGTTTTATTGGAACACAGTCATATTTATTCAGTTACTGCTTTCCTGTGTTTACAATGACAAAGTTGGGTAGAGATGAGGGATTGCAAGAGACCATGTAGCCTGCAATGTTGAAAATACTAACCATCAGACCTCTGACCTCTTTTGTAAACTATAGATCTTATTTGATCATTACTTTTCCCACTAATGTTCTTTTTCTGCCCTGGAATCCAATCTAGGATCCCACATTGCATTCAGTTGTTTTATCTCCTTAATGTACTCCAATCTGTAATAGTTTGTCTTTTCTTTCATGACCTTGACACTTTTGAAGAATATTGATCAGTTATTTTCTAGATTGTCCATCTGTATGTATTTGTCTAGTGTTTTCTTGTGATTAGATTGAAGTTATTACACATTTTGACAAGAATGCCACAAAAGTGATATTCAGTTGTTCTTGCTGTATCATACCAAGTGTATATGATAATATGTCCTATTACTGGTGGTGTTAACCTGATTAGTTGATTAAGTTTGTGTCTGCTGGGTTTTCCCACTGTTAAAAATAAATATTTTTCAGTTCATATTTAATGAATAGCTTGTGGGGAGATACATTGAAACAATGCAGATACCCTGTTTCTCATCATACTTAATGTCCATTAATTTTAGCATCCATCTTGCCTGAGCAGTTTTTACTGTGATGTTTGTCTAGTGGTGATTTTCTATTTCTTTTATTACAACTACATTTAGTAATTGTAAAGAAGAGCTCTTTCCATTTATTTATTTATTAATTTATTTATCCCATTACTTATATTAATATGGACTTATAACATATTTTTATTTTATTCTATGAGTTATAATCCAGTTTATTTTGTTGCTCAAATTGTTCCAGCTTTGGTTATTGGGAACTTCTTCAAGTTGGATCATGAGTCATTTGATTATGTCCCTATCGTTTTTTGAGCACTGCTTTACTTTCTGGCACCACAAGATATTCCAGGCTCATCCTATATTTTCCCTGCCCAGTTTCCTCTGGCCAGAAAGATAGGTGTCTTCTCCTGGGGTTTTAGATGCCTGTGTCATAGTGGCAATTTTGGTATAGAAAAATAAAATTTTGGAGAGAAAAAAATAAAATTGAAGATCCACCTTTTATTATCATGATATGCAGTGCTCAGCTTCTTTTTCCCAGTGCTATGATTAGAAATGGGGTTCTCCCAGAGTTTTGCTATCAGCACCCTCTGCATAGTTGTGGAATTCAGCCTGTCTTTCTGTCAAAAACCAGGAAAGAAAGGAGGAAAAAACCCCATGACATTCATAACCACCGCCCCCTCAACCCCCCTTCAATTTTATAGGGTTCATTATTTAAGTTTTGATTTCAGCCCCCAATCTTTCTGCTGTTGTTTCTCTTTCAGAGTCCTTAGGTTGTTTCTTTATGTATTCTGTCTATAGTTTTTTGTTGTCATAAATGGCAGAGAGTCTGTAATTGCCTTTATTCCACCTTGGCCAGCCAACTTTGCTTGTTTTGAATAACCAGAGTTCTTTTATTGACAGGTAAATTCTCGTTTTGTCAATTTGCATAAATTAATACTTACATTTTAATAAAGAAATATAGTTTTAGAACCATAGTTGGAATTCATTTGAATTCTTTATAAATACCATTTGAATCATTAACTGGTCTAATCTGTGTGATGTAATATCTGTTAATGTATGTACTACACATATTCCCATAGTGCTTGAAGTTTTAACGTGAAGTTATTGACAAATTAAGTGAATTGAATTTCTATTAGGAAGTATTTAATAACTTTTAATACATATTTTTAATTCAAGTGAGCAGTGAAGATTCTGAAGATTCTGATTTTCAGGAATCAGGAGTTAGTGAAGAAGTTAGTGAATCTGAAGATGAGCAACGGCCCAGAACAAGGTAAATATATTGTTTTTTCAAAAATTTTAGAAATTAATCTGAATAACCATGCTTCAGTTTATTTGTAGAAAGGTTGCTGTTACTAATTTAACATTTTGATTTGAAACTAATTATTAAAATTATTAATTAAAATAGTATGTATAAAAATACATATATAACAACATACTACGTATAGTTGAATTGTATGTTCTAAACTAAATTGTATAGTGGGCTTTCAGAGTGAAAAACACTCTTGACTGTATTTTGTTGTTGGGGGAAGTTGTAGTGTAATAGGGAAGAGACTCTTATCGACAAACCACCTCAATCTAACTCCTGGTTTTACTACTTTCTGTTTGTATAAATACTCTGTGCTTCAGTTTCATCATCTGTAAAATGGGAGATTACTACTATCTACTTTATTGATTATTGTGAGCATTAATTGAGATAGTTCATGTAAAGTGCTTACAATAGTGCCTATTTGGTAAAGAGTAAATGCTCCATGAATGCTAATTATTGGTCTTAGTAGTACTACTAGTATTATAGTAATTAATATATGCTTGTTCTCTCAATACACATAGGTACTGGTCTAGATTACTAGTTATTTAAAATTTTACTTCCTTCTTAGCATAGTATTTTAGATAATACTAACCATTCTAAGAAATTTTTTATTTCCTCCAGAATAATACGATACTTCTGTTGATTTATCATTTTGTGTTTGTGTGAGTATGTATATGTATGCCTACGTAGGTGTCTGCACTGGTAAATTTTTAAAACATTTGAAGTTTTTAAGATTAGTATTTACCAGGTTGTGTCTGGAATATAGCAATATACTGTACTTTAGGGAAATATGAAATAACAACAGGATACAATAAGAATTTTAAAAACTGAGCTGGAATACACATAACACAAATTTTACCAGTTTATAGTATAGAATACCATGGTTTTTAGGATATTCACAAAGTTGTGCATCTACCACCACTATCTAGTTTAAGAACATTTTCATCACCCCAGAAAGAAACCCTGTACCCCTTAGCAGTCATTTTGCATTCTTCCTGCTTCTTATCCCCTGGCAAAAACTTACCTGCTTTGTGTATGGATTTGCCTATTCTGGACATTTCATATGAATAGATTCATACAATATGTGTCTTTTTTATGAATGGCTTCTTTCAGTTAGCATAATGTTTTCTGTGTTTATCCATTCTGTAGCTTGTATCAGCATTTTATTCCCTTCTAAATTATTTATCATACATATACATACATATATTCCTTTTCATATTCTTTTTCATTATAGGTTACTACTAAATTATTTTTAATGGTGGGAAAATATATATAAAATTTACCATCTTATCCATTAAGTGTACACAAGTAGTGTTATGCACATTCACATTGTTCTGCAACCAATCTCCATAATTTTATCTTGTAAAACTGAAACTATTTATACATTAAACAATAAGTCCCTATTCTCCTTCCCCCTAGCCCCTGGTAACTACCATTCTACTTTCTGTTTCTATGAATTTGACTACTGTAGGTACCTCATATAAGTGGAACCATGCAGTATTTGTCTTTTTTGTGACTAACTTATTTCACTTGGTACAGTGTCCTCAGGCTTCCATGTTGGAGCATGTATCAGAATTTCTTTCTTTTTTAAGGCTGAATAATGCTCCATTGTTAGTATGCACCATATTTTGTTTATCCTTTCATTCACTGATGAACTCTTGGGTGGCTTCTACCTTTTGGCTATTGTGAATAATGAACATGGGTGTATAAATGTCTTTTCAAGTTCCTGATTTCAATTCTTTTGGTTATATATCCAGAAGTGAAATTGCTGGTTCTTACAGTAATTCTATGTTTAACTCTGAGAAACTGCCACACTGTTTCTCATAGGAGCTGCACCATTTTACATTCTCACCAACAGTATACAAGGTTTCTACTTTATCTGCATCCTCACCAAAGCTTGTTATTTTCTAGGGTATTTTTTCAATATTAATCATCGTAATGAGTGTGAAGTGTGGTGTCTCATGGCTTGAATTTGTATTTTACCTAATGGTTAGTGATATTGAATATCTTTTCATGTGCTTTCATGTGAGTTAGATGAGACAGAATCCTGTCTCTTGGGCAGCCCCTAGACAAGCCAGAACGTTGCAAGCAAGTTCTACTCTTCCTTCCTGTGGGCAGCTTTCTCCTGACCTTGTTGAGCTGAGCAGGGAAAGGGATGGGGCCAATATGAGCAGAAATGCTATGAAATTTCCTCTCATTTTTAAGTGTAACTCATGGTTAGATGTTCACTTGTTTGCTGCAGGTTCTTAACTGGTTTCTAGAGTTCTCACATAGTTGGTTTTGGTTTTGGGTTTGGGTTTTTTTGTTTGTTTGTTTGTTTGTTTTTTGCCATATGTTGTTTATTTTGTGTTTCTGTGGGAGAACAAGAGCCTGAAACTTACTCATCCACCATCTTACTGAGGTTACCTGGCTACTCCATTACTTTCAGTGGCTGAATAATATTCCATTGTATGAATAATACCACATTTTGTTTATCCATTTATCTGTTGATGCATATTAGGATTATTTCCACTTTTTGCCTATTATGACTAATACAGTTATGAAAATTTGTATACATACAATTTTTACACAGTATGCTGTTTTCATATTCGTTCATAGGAACAGTATCCATGAGTGGAATTGTTTGGTCATAGTCATATGGTAACACTGTGCTTAACTTTCTAAGGAACTGCCAAAATGTTTTCCACAGTGGTACACCATTTCACATTCCTACCAGCAATGTACCAAGCTTCCAATTTCACTATATCCTTATCAAAATATACCATTTTTGTTCTTTTGGTTATAGACAACCTAGGGGGTATGCAGTGACAACTCATTGTGATTTTGATTTGCTTTCGTCAAATAACTAATGATGTTGAGCATTGTTTCATATGCTTACTGACCATTTGTCTATCTTCTTCGGAGAAACATCTATCATAATTATTTTCCCAATTTTTAATTTAGTTGTCTTTTTATTGTTGATTGGTAATAGTTCTTTTTATATTTTGAATACAAGACCCACAGCAGATGTATGATTTGCAGATAGTTTCTTCTGTTCTGTGGATTATCTTTGCACTTTCTTGACAGTATACATTTATACACAAAAGTTTTTAATTTTGATGAGTCAAATTTATCTGGTTTTTTTTCTTTGATTGCTTGTGCTTCTGGTGCTACATCTGAGAATCTGTTGCCTAATCCAAGGTCACAAAGATTTGTGGCTTTGTTTTCTTTGACAAGTTTTATAGTTTTAGCTCTTATACCTAGGATTTTGACTCTTTTCCACCTATAATCTCCATGAAATTTTATTTAAGAAAGCTTCTTGGGGGAGAGTATAGTTTAGTGGTATAGAACCTGCTTAGCATGCACAAGGTCCTGGGTTCAATCCCTAGTACCTCCATTTTAAAAATAAATAAACTTAATTACCTCCCCCCTAAAGAAAAAAAGCTTTTAGTTTTGTATATTTACATGGTTCTCAGTATTTTCTACTATAAATACTATTGTCATAAAATATTTACATATTCCATGTAGAGTTACAGTAATATATTTATTACACTATTATGTAATATACATAAAATATACACACATATACATTCATGTATATGCGTGTGTGTGTATTCACACACTTGTCTGATTATTTCCTTAGAGTAAATTTCTGAAAGTGACATTGTTGGGTCAAAGTTGTGCAGTTTTAAGGCTTGTCATACATATTTTCATACTGTCTTACAGAAATAAATTTTTCTTCCCCTAGCAGAATATGTAAATAACCATTCCTTTACTCTTTTAACAATAAAAAAAATGAGCAGCCTGTTAGATAGAACATATAAGGGGGAGGGTATAGCTCAAGTGGTAGAACATGTGCTTAGCATGCATGAGGTCCTAGATTTGATCCCTAGTACCTCCTCCAAGAATAAATAAATAAAGTTAATTACCTCCCCCCAACAACAACAACAAAAAAAACACAAAAAACAAGAAAGAACATATATCTTAGGGAAACTATGATCCATACAGAGTTAATGTTTTACATGGTGCAAGACAGGGGTTCAACTTCATCCTTTTGCATGTAGATAACCAGTTGTCTCAGCACCACTTGTTGAAAAGACTGGCCTGTTGAATTGTCTTGATACCCTTGTGGAAAATCAATTGACCATAAATATAAAGTTCTCTCTTCTTTTTTTTTGCATTTTTTTTCTTTTTTTTGTTATTGGAGGTACTGGGTATTGAACCTACAACCTCATGCATGCTAAACATGAGCTATACCCTCCATTCCCCTAAAATTTTATTTCTGAACTCTCATTTCTCTTCCATTGATCTGTATGTCTATCCTTTATGCCAGGAACATACTGTATAGATTAGTGTAACTTTGTATACCAATTTCTAAGTGCAGAAGTACTTTTCTCACCAAAAGTTGTTGTTACTGGTTTCTTTTTTAAATTTATGTGAGCCGATATGAAGAGAATAGTGTCTAACTTTTATAATCTGCTTTGTTTTTTTTAAGAGATGGTGAATATTTTTCATGTGTATTTTGGCCATTTATATTTCTAAAGGCCCTCCATCCATTTTATTACTCATATGCTAAACCTCCCCCTCTGAATAACTTAAAATGTTGATCAGTGGATTTCAAATTAAAGGTTATCCTTTTGAACCTACTGAAGTTTTTTTTTGCTGTTTGTTTTCCTTTATCTTTTTGGGGGAATGCAAACAAAAACAGTTCTGAAATAGTACATAATTCATTTAAGGAAATTCATCATGAAATATTTTATTTTGCATTTTAAATCTTCTTTAGGTCTGCAAAGAAAGCAGAGTTGGAAGAAAATCAGCGAAGTTATAAACAGAAAAAGAAAAGGAGACGCATTAAAGTTCAAGAAGATTCATCCAGTGAAAACAAGGTAATACTGAGATTTACCATGTGCTTGAATTATAACTGTTACAGTAGATCATAGTAAAATATGTTATTACCTCTTCTGCATTCTGTTCATTAGTTGAATTTTACTGATTTATTTACATTTTACACTTTTGTAGATTGATTTATTGAATGTATAAATATGCAGAAGTATTAACTTTGATGTATCATCATTCTTTTTCTGTTTCTTAACTAAATCTAATGGAAATTTTAAGCTATTCTGATTCATTATCTGCATTCTTAGGGCTACAGAATTGATGTGAAGTGTTCTGTCTGAAGACATAAAACATAACTCATGTGAATAAATTTCTTTTAGCAGTTAAGTTAGTCAATTTAAGCTTCTTGTATATAAGCAAAATTATATAGAGTACAAGTCCTCCTCTGTAATGGTTTATTCTGTCCATCCTGTTCTCTTTTGCAGGGGTTCATTTTTTAAAAATGAACAATTTTAAAAATGTGCAATTCAGTGGCCTTAATTACATTCATAATTGGAAACTCTGTACACATTAAACAGTAGCTCCCCTTTCCCACCTACTTCCAGCCCCTTATATCCTCTACTTCTAATTTCTATTCCTGTGAATTTGCCTTTTTTAGGTGCATCGTATAAATGGAGTCACATAATATTTATCCTTTTATGCCTGGCTTATTTCACTGACATAACGTTTTCAGGGTTCATCCATGTTGTAGCATGTATCAGAGTTTCCTTTCTTTTTAATGCTGAATAATGTTCCATTGTATGTATATATTACATTGTGTTCATCCATTCATCTCTTGATGGACATTTGGGTTGTTTCTACCTTTGGCTATTTTGAATAATGCTACTGTGAATGTGGGTGTACAAATATCTGTTTGAGTTCCTACTTTTAATTCTTTTGGTTATAATTGGAGAAGTGGGAATTGCTGATCATATGGTAATTCTGTTTAACTTTTTGAAGAACTGTCACACTTTTCCCAATGCACCAGGGCTTCAGATATTTTGAAATTCTCACCAACACTTATTATTTTCTGTTTTTTTCAAAATAATCATCCTAATGGGTGTGAGGTAGTATCTAATTAGTGGTTTTGATTTAAATTTCCCTAATGACAAGTGATGTTGAACATCTTTCATGTGCTTATTGTACATTTCTATGTTTTATTTGGAGAATATCTGTTCCAGTCCTTTGTACCCCTTTCAGGGTTTTTTTTTTTTTAAACACTCTGTTTTATTGAAAAGTATAATTCTGAAGCTTTTCAGTATACTTTGTTCCATCCTTTTTGGTATATTAATTACTGGAATATGAAATGGATAAATTAGACAGCTTTGTAGTATTTACCTTTGATCATTTAAATTCCATAGAGTAATTCTGAAGAAGATGATAAAGAAGAAGATGAAGATGAAGAGGAAGAAGAAGATGAAAATGATGATTCTAAGTCTCCTGGAAAAGGCAGAAAGAAAATTCGAAAGATTCTTAAAGATGATAAACTGAGAACAGAAACACAGAATGCTCTTAAGGAGGAGGAAGAGAGGCGAAAACGTATCGCTGAGAGGGAGCGTGAGCGAGAGAAATTGAGAGAAGTAAATAATTTTTATTTAGAATTTCTTTTTAATATATGACATTCATAGATTCATAGATATATTTCAAGAATAGGGTATTGTAATCAACCACAGATTTTTAGTTACAGTTACTTTTCCCTATTTGCAGTATATTATGCAACTTTAAAATCTTCATTAGGCTATAGTAATATAATTAGGTGCATGGAAAGAGTTGGGATTCTCGAATGATCACCAGAGTGTTTTATTTGGGGAAGAAAAGTGTTAAAAAAGTATTGCTTAAATCCATAAAGGATTTTAAGTTTTTGAAAAAACTTTTTCTTGTAAAAAATTAATCAAATGTACTGGTGGAAGGAATGTTACTATAAATCTATGTATCTATTACACAGTTTCAACAAATACCAACACATGGACAGTCTTGTGTCTTCTGTTCTTTAATCTTCAGATTATTTTGGAGAAGGCTCAGTAATCATATCATTTCATCTATATATAGTTCAGAGTATATTGTTGAAAGATAAGGACCTTTTAAACATTACCACAGTACCATCATTACACTTAAAAATTAATAGTAATTTCGTATCATCAAATATCTAGTTAATAGTCAAATTCTTTCACTTTTCTCACAAACATAGTAGTGATTTTTAAAAATAGTTGGTGTGAATCAGGATCCTAAGAATGTCTTACTACGTATGTGTTGCATTTGGATACTTATGTTTGTATTTTTCTTTAAGCCAATACCATACTGTCTTAATTACTGTAACCTTATAGTAAGTCTTGAAATTAGATACTGTAACTCCTACAACTTTGTTCCACTTTTTCAGAATTGTTTTGGCTATTCTCAGTTATTTGCATTTCCATGTAAGTTTTAGTATCATCTTGTTAACTTTTACAAGACTCCTCCTGGAACTATTATTGGGATTGTGTTAAATCTTGAGATCACTGACATCTTAACAGTATTTTGTCTTCTGTTACATAAATATAGTATATTTCTCCATTTATTTAGTTATCCTTTGATTTCTCTTAGCAATGTTTTATGGCTTTCATTGTATAAACCTAGCACATATTTTTCTTAATTTATCCCTAGAAATTTATGTTTTCTGATATCATAGTAAATGAAATTTTAGGTGATTTAATGACCTCGTGTTCTGTGACCTTGCTGAATTCTCTTACTAATTCTAGTAACTTTTTTGGGGTAGATTCTTTGGTAGATTTTCTACATATACAATCATGTTGTCTATATGAAAACCATTTTATAAATTTCTTTCAAAATTATAGTTTATTTCTTTTTTAAATTATAAATGGATGGTTAAATTCTTTAAATTCTTTTAAATGTGTCTGTTGGAGTGACCTAGAAAAATAGTCTTACATTGCTAGAATAAGCCTTGATTGGTTATAGTATATTACTCTTTTTCTATATTGTTGTATTTCTCTTGCTATATTATATCAGCAGGAGTTTTATTTCAATTTTAAGTAGGCATGTTAGTTTGTAAATTCCTTTTCTCGTAGTATCTTTCTGGTTTTGCTATCACAGTAATACTGTTCTCATATAAAGTGAGTAGGGAGGTGCTCTATCTCATCTGTCATCTTAAAGCATGTTTGTAGGATAGATATTTAGTTCTTTAATGTTTAATAGAATTCTCCTGTGAAGCTACAGGTCTGGAGTTTTCTGAGTTTTTAAAAAAATTTTAAACATACTTAGTTTGATAAATGTAGGGCTTTTTAGACTGTTTCTCTTTAGATCTGATTTGGTAAAATTTGTCCATTTCATTTAAATAGTTATATTTGTTGGTGAAATGTGTTGATAGTATTCCCTTATTAAGTTTTTTTGTGGGCCTTGTCATGACATCTCATCTTTCATTTCTGCTGATAATTTGTGCCTTTTTTTTGTCATGATTAGTCTCTGGAGATTTGGCAATTTTCAGCTTTGGATTTTTTGATTTTCTCTATTTCACTTTTTCAAATTTCATTGATTTCTACTCTATTTTTATTTTATTCACCTTTCTTTGGGTTTAATTTGCTCTTTTTCTAGCTACATAAGGTGGATTCTAGCTACTTTTTTAATATATAATTTAAAGGTGTAAAATTCCCCACTGTGCATACTGTTTTAAATACTGCATTGTATGAATTTTGATACTGTGTGTTTCACTTCTACTTTGTTCAGAATCTTTTCTTATTTAACTTATGACCCAGAAAATGATCTTTCTTTCTGGATATTCCATGTATACATCCTGCTGTTGTTGGGTGAAAATAGTCTATAAATTTCAGCTAGGTTATGTTGGTTGATTATATTCAGGTCCTCTATATCCTTAATAATATTCTGTCTAATGTAGAGAGAGCATTGTTGAGGTCTCCAAGGTCATAATCGTTGATTTGTCATTTTCTTTATGCAGTTCTGTCCAGTTTTTTTATTTCAGTAGGTTGAAGCTCTGTTGTTAGGTACATGTACATGTAGGATTATATCTTTCTAGTGAATTGACCCATTATCAGTAAGTAACCTCGCTTTTTGATCTCTGATAATTTTACTTCGTCTGAAATCTCTTCTATATGATAATAATATAGTCACATCATTTTCTTTTCAAGCATTTTACCATGAGAAGTTCCAGCATACAACAAGATTGACATAATTTCAGTGATTTCTAATAAACTCATGTCCTAGATTGTTCTGTTGATATTTTACTGTACTTCATTTATCATGTTCTTATTTCTCTAATAATATCTCTTATCCATCATATTTTTATGCATTTCAGTGTTCGTTGCAGACATCATTTCACTTAACCGAAATGCTTTAGCATGTATATGTTTAGTTAGCATTCATATTTATTTACAAGTTTTTCTTTTTATGTAAAATTTATATACAATGAAATGTGCCAAAGTGTACAGTTGCTTTTGAAACACAATGAAATGCACAGATTAATGTATATATGTTTGTAGTTTTCTTCAAATTGTCTTTTTTCCTTTTACTTAATGTTTGGATAGTATTCTGTCCTCCCTCCATTGTGTCTGCACTTAAATGCAACACAGTTTATCTGTTGAATGGGTGTACTGCTGTCAATGGTCTCCTTGCCAAATCTTTGGGGTATATTTAGGTTGCTTCATCATTTTCACTGACTTGAAGTATCCTGTTACATATTGGTATAACTTCTCTCGTTTGTGCTTCTTTGGGTTCTTTTTAAAAAAAATTATTATTTTAACTTTTTTTTTAAATTGAAGTACCATCAGTTACAATGTGTCAATTTCTAGTGTATAGCACAATGTCCCAGTCATGTATATACATACATATATTTGTTTTCATATTTTTTTCATTAAAGGTTATAAGATATTGAACATAGTTCCCTATGATATAAAGCAGAAACTTTTTTAAAATCTCTATTTATATATAGTGGCTAACATTTGTAAATCTCAAACTCTCAAATTTATCACTTCCCATCCCCTTCCCCAGTAACCATAAGATTGTTCACGATGTCTGTGAATCTGTTTCTGTTTTATAGATGATGTCACATTGTCCTTTCCTTTTCTTTTCCTTTTTTTTTTAAATTCCACATATGAATGATATCATATGGTATTTTTCCTTCTCTTTCTGGTTTACTTCACTTAGAATGATGATCTACAGTTCCATCCATGTTGCTGCAAATGGCATTATTTTATTCTTTTTTTATGGCTGAGTAGTAGTCCATTGTATAAACATACCACAAATTCTTTATCCATTAATTATCTTTTAAGTACATAGTTCAGTGAAATACATATTATGTAACCATCACCACCCACCACTCTTTTTCCTGAATTTTTCATCACCCTAGACAGAAACTCTGTACTCATTTAGCAATAAATCCTCATCCCCCTCTTCACAGTGTCTTGTAACCTGTCTTCTACTTTCTGTCTACAAATTTGCCTATTCTAGGTACCTCATGTAAGTGGACTCATACAATTTTTGTCGTTTTCTGTCTACCTTATTTCACATGGCCAAATGTTTTTGAAGATGCACCCATGTTATATTGACTATCAGAATTTCATTTCTTTTAAAGATGAGTGATACATTGTATACATATACCACATTTTGTTCATTCATTCGTTGATGGATACTTGGGTTTCTTCTACTTTTTGGCTGTTTTGAATAATGGTGAACATGAATGTACAAATATCTCATCAAATTCCTGCTTTCCATTCTTTCTTATTTTTAAAATATTTTATTGAAGTATAGTTGATTTAAAATACTGTGTTAATTGCAAGTGTACAGCAAAGTGATTCAGCAATATATATATATATATATATATATATATATACACACACACATTCTTTTCAGATTCTTTTCAATTATATATTATTATAAGACATTGAATATGGTTCACTGTGCTATACAGTCAGTCCTTGTTGTTTATTTTACATATAGTAATACGTATCTGTTAAGCCGAAACTCCTAATTTATCCTGCACCGCCTTTCCTTTTGGTAATCATAAATTTGTTTCCTATATCTGTGAGTTTGTTCCTGTTATGTAGATAAGTTTATTTGCATCATTTTTTTAGATCCCACATATAAGTAAGGTGATATAGTATTCATATTTTCTCTGTCTGAATTACTTCACTTAGTGTGATAATCTCTAGATCCATCCATGTTGCTGTAAATGGCAATATTTCATGCTTTCATTCTTTTATAATGGCCAGGTAATATTCTGTTGTATTTATATACCACATCTTCTTTATCCATTCACTTAGACACTTAGGTCACTTCCATATCTTGACTGTTGTAAATAGTGCTGCTGTGAACAATGGAGTGCATGTATCTTTTGAAATTAGAGTTTTTATCTCTTCTGGTTGTATGCCCAAGAGTGGGATTCCTGGATCATAAGGTAACTTTATTTTTAGTTTTTAAGGGACTTCCATACTCTTCTCTGTAGTGGCTGTACCAGTTTACATTCCCACTTATGATATAGGAGTGTTCACTTTTCTTCACATCCTGTTAGCATATATTATTTGTAGACTTTTTGGTGATGGCCATTCTGACTGATGTGAGATGATACTGCATTGTA